TCGCGCGGGAGCCGCAAGACGGCAGGTGGCGGGTGCCCACAGGGTACCCTACCCTGGCCTGCATGCCACAGGAGGGACCACCGGCAGGACGGTCACGGGGGACCGCGCCGAAGCTCTACCCAGGAAGGGCGGCCCGAGTGAGGCCACGGGAGCCGGCTCGGTCCTTCTCGCCGGAAATCGACTGTCGCCGTGACCCTCGAAGAGCTCGGCCCGCGTGGGAAGCGGAATGGGGCCTGCCCGGCTGCCCCTCAGTCGCCACACTTGGACTTACTCACAGTTCAAAGAAAAATGTCAGAGAGAGTGACAGCCCAGAGAGCTGGGGGTCTCCCCTCCCGGGACCCCCGCTGGGTTCCCTGGAGCCCCCGGCGGACAAGGGAAGGAGGCGAGGGGAGAGGAGGGGACCCCATCCCCTCGAGTCCTTTTCTCCTGTCTCCCCAGCTCCCTACTGCCTGGGCCCGAGGTGTCCCCGAGAAGGGGTGACTGTGGTCCCCAGGCTGGGTGGACGTCGCCTCCCCCAGCCCACCCACAGGGAGGCCCTTCTTGTAGCCCGGGAGGAGGCCGGTGAGGCGCGACGGGGCCTGGACAGCCAGCCCGTAGTGACAGAGCAGAGAGAGAAGGCGGGACACTGGACAGAGGGGCTGCCTGGGGTTCCACCGAGTCTTACACTGAAGTCACAGGACTTTAGGGCCTGCCTGCCAACTTCAGGTGCAACCCAAAAAGACATTCTTCTCCTGGGTCCCCTCACCCCCACGACAGTTCCAAATTTCCTCCCTAGGGCTGGGCAGGAGGGTCGACGGGGAGCGAGAAACTGTTGGTTGCAAGTCGGGTTAAGAATCCCGGAAGAAACGAAAATGTATAGAATTTCTTTCTTTTTTTTTTTTTGGAGAGAGTGAATTCCTCTTCTTGGCATAGTGATTGAGTTTAAATAACTTTACAACTGCTTTACTTCCTTTCTTTTTGTGGAATTAAAAAAAAATCCCTGCTAATCATGAGCTTTAAGAGAAAAATGAGTCTGCTAACGGCTTGAAAGTGAGTTTGAACCACAGTCCTGACACAGGTGTGGCTTTGGGGCCTCAGTGCCGTCTCCCCAGTCCTCGGCTCCCCAGGCTGAGTGACTCCTGTGGACTTCAGGCGCTTTCCTGGGGCCCGGAAGAGAGCCTGGACTAATTAGAGGCATCTTATCAGTCTTGACTTGAAATTGAAAGAAAATGATGTTTAAATATTTATGACTTTGACATTTACAGTCAGATGTCTTTTAAAAGCAGAACACCTCCTTCTGTACAGTTGCAGCAGCAGCTCAGCTCACCTTCCTGAAAGTCTGCACCAGAGGGGATGGGGTGAGGGGAGGTGTAGGGAGAAGCAAGTCTTGGAAGCATGGTCGCCCAGGTTCACGGGGTGTCTGTGCACCCCCCGATGTAGGAGAAGCATGCACAGCACTTCAGCACTAAGTTCTCGCGTGCAGGAATCGTGGGACTTTTTAAATAACCAGGAATAATTAAGGCAACCTCTTATCAGGTTAGATATGCCTTGAGAGTAAGCTGGGGTACAATATTGCATATTTCTTCCTCTCAACCATTTGCACCTGCAACTCCTCAGATTTGGAATATACAGTATTGCAAAAGTTGTGATTAGAAATACATGTGTTTCCACAGAAGACAACGTGCGAAACTGCTCTTGGAAATGAGAGTCTGGAACGTCGTTGTGAACGGTTTAAAATACAGGCGTAGGTGCAAGGGCTTCCGTGACAGGCTCTTCTGAGCCATTTATGGCAGAGTGCCTTCAAAACTTTTTTTGTAAGCTGCCCATGTGGTAACCTTAAAAGGTAAATAGGGAAAAGAAAAAAAGAACATTCTGTACCCAAACTCGATTATAAGAACTGAGACAGCCACCAAATACAAAACTTTATGGTAAATATTTGTTGACAGGGAGCAAAATTTAGTGTTTTCCAAGGCTGTATAATGTAACCAGTGAACGAGAGGAACTTGTGTAGTCACTGACTTGCAATGTTAAAATATGCTTGTACTAAAAATAATTATGGTCGAGGAACTTGTGTAGTCACTGACTTGCAATGTTAAAATATGCTTGTACTAAAAATAATTATGGATTATTTCAGGATTCAATTTCATTAATACCAAATTTCCAATATTGTTAATGTTTTCATTTGTATCATTTCTAAGGCATTTGATGTGCAAGCCAGCTACACCCTGTGTTTATCTGCACTTTTATGTTACTGTAATTAGAAAGACTGTTTTCCTTGTAAAATTTAGAAATTAGTTTTAGAAACTATCCATGAGTTGCTATAAGTTTGTTTTGGGTTTGCTAGATGAATTACTTTAGTATTATTGGGAAATTTCATTCTAAATTTACTTAAATCTATTTGCTAAAATATAATAACTATCACTTTAAAGCTGATCAAAAATTTTAACAGTTTTCAGGCCATGGCAAGTGACCAAACTTAAAAATATGGGGGAGGGGTGTCTTAAAATATTTTAAAAGTATTTTTTAAAGCTGTTAACTGAACTATTTTTAATTT